GTGTTCTTTTGTCTTTCACACCTTTAGACAGCTTCGTCTAATCTTAATAATTACATAACTTCTGAAAGACATTGGCTGCAGTTGATTTCATGATATTGTCATTGTAAAAAGATTGCATACAAATGCAGATATAGTTGTTCCCTTTCCTCGGTGCATTAAGCTCCACCCCAATGAAAGCCAAAGTAGATAAATAGTCTGAAATTTGTTTCTGTAACTTTACAAGATGTTGAAAAGTCTAAGAGGTATGAAAACTTTTCCAAAGCACAGTACTCATAAAGGTTGTTTTTATCATTTTCTGGGCAATCACACAGACATTGTATTTGCAAATGCATCATTCACAATCACAAATTGATTTTTATTTCTGTGTACTGTATAAGGAGTCCTGTTTTCAAATGGAGAAACATGGAGAGAGATGCGTCGTTTTGCCCTCAGCACCCTCAAAGACTTTGGGATGGGGAAGAGAGGTGCAGAGGAGAAAGTCTTAGAGGAGTGTGGACACCTCATTAAAGTGTTTGAGAGTTATAAAGGTATAACATGATGCTGTGTTGCTCTAAGAAAAGGACACATAAAATTCTTCACTCAAATGGTTTAATCATTGTTGTGGTACTAATTCATATTCCTTTGTAAGTGTCCTCAAAAGATAAAACGATGACTTTTGCTCCACAGGGAAACCATTTAACACATCCCATCCAGTAAATTATGCAACATCCAACATCATCTCTTCAATAGTGTTTGGAAGCAGATTTGAATACGATGATCCTCGATTCAGAAACCTGGTTATTCGGGTCAATGAGAATATGAGTCTGTTTGGCACTGCAGGAATTCAGGTGAGCTTAATGTTTCACTTCAGCAACTTTGTAAATGATACACTGGGAGCCAAAGAGAGACTTTAGCACAGTGTATTGATCAATGTTATCTATGTGAAAGGCAGAGACTTAAATTATTGTCTGAAGTCCAAACACTGAGCAAATATCTTACATGCATAAAAATACCCCAAAGTTTAAAACTAAATTGCCATAAAAGACAAATTTTGGATTTTGTGATTTTGCAATCACGTCCTTGAATTTATTTTGTTTCTTGGGGTTTTATGTGAAAGACGAACACAACGTGGTGCACAAAATGTGAGGTGTAAGAATGAGCAGACATATAGGTTTAAAATGTTTTCACATGTACAAATTTTACATCTATTTCTATTTATCTCTAACATGTGTTCTTCAAGGATCGTCCTTTATTTAGCTCCATCCATCTGTAAATCAGCTACCTGTCCTTGCTGCATATCACTGCAGGGTCTTGCTGCCAATACGAAGTTATTGTTATTGTTGGTGGTTGTGATGTGTGGTATATTTCTGATATTAATGTTCCATAACATTTAGCATATAGACTTCTTAAAGCTGCTTTCCAACAAGACTTTACTCGTTGCTCAAGTTCATTTTGGCTCTTTTAACATAACTGAATTAATATTGATCTTTTTAAAATGTATTTTTCTTAATTTAAAGCTATATAATACGTTTCCCTGGCTGGCCAGATGGATAAAAAACCGTCGGGTGATTTTAAAAAACGCTGAGATGACAATCAGAGACGAGAAGGAATTAATGCAGAAACTGAAGGCGACACTCAACCCTCAGACATGCAGAGGACTGGTGGACTGTTTTCTGATTCGAAAGCAGAAAGAAGAGGCAAGGCAACACAAATCTATTTTTAAAGAATAATGCCAACACCAGACACATTTGTCTCATGTATATTTTCCTTCCAGGACGCTTGTGTCAAAGACACTCAGTTCACTGAGGAGAATCTGATACTCACAGTGGCAAACCTGTTTACTGCTGGAACCGACACCACAGCCGCATCACTGAGGTGGAGTTTGCTGCTCATGGCAAAGTATCCACACATTCAGGGTAAGAAAGAGGATGACATGTCTGGGATGGTTTATCTACATCTAGAAAACAGGATTTTCAGCATGTTTTCTACGTTTAAATGTTACAGTGTCAGTTCTAGTAGTGCTATAGAGTCTTGCCAAAACATTCTCAACCCTTATTTATTTTTTTATATTTTATTAAATTTAGGGTAAATTTAATAAAATGACATCTTTAATTTTTTTCTTTCTATTTTCAGCAATAGATTTTTAACAAGTGTTGATATGCTACATTTTGAAGGGAGGACAGCTGTAGTCAAGCTATGACCTGTTTCAGATATTGGCAATGGATGCTTATAACGATTAATGTGATAAAACACCACAAAGTGACATAGTCCTTATTTTAAGATCTATATTGATCTATATTGGATGTTCTGAATCGACATGAGCAGAAATGATCTCTACATGATGAAACATGGTATCCTTTAAATCCTGGTCGGAGCAAATAATTTCCTAGTTTACCTTTGTAGGGGCCAACATTCAAATTTGGAAATGTTAAATTTTAACCTTGGTCAGTAAAGTTCACATTGTTTTAATGGTTGACCTGCAAAGAGGAAAAACAAAGCTTCACATAAACTTTAATGTTCGGTTCGGTAACACTTTATTTGAAGGGGGTTGAATAAGACTGTCATGTCACCGTCATAAACATGACATAACATGTCATGAACATGAATAAGCCTTCATGAATATTTATGACTGTTGTCATAAAGCGTCATTCGGTAAATTATGACACTTTTAATACAAAGTTGACATTATTCAAAATGTTTTTGTTGTTATGACAGCTTGACATTAACCAAGAAATCATTACTGTTCAAATGTAACCTTTAATAACTCAAATAAAGTGTTACCTTAGGTTCTTATTTTGGTTCAACATTTTGACTTAAGACTTAAAGACAAATACAAGGTTTAGAGATTTCCATCAACCCTGGTATTATACAGAGAGAAACTGTTAACCATTAGTTTTGGTTAAACTGTGCATTTTGCATTGTCATTGAAGTCACTGTGACCCACAAAGGGAGAACTGTTGATCATTTCCTTCTTGTTTACTGCAGACCAGGTTCAGGAGGAGCTGACCAGGGTGGTTGGAAACCGTGAGGTTCATGTGGAAGACCGTAAAAATCTGCCGTACACTGATGCTGTCGTCCACGAGATACAGCGGTTCTGTTACATTGTTCCTATGGCAATCCCACACAAAACCAGTCGAGATGTTACCTTCCAGGGATTCTTCATTAAAGAGGTGAGCAAGTGGGAAATATTTCTGGGCTTTCAACAAACAATATCTTCCAGATTAATGATGATCCTACTCATATTTTTGTCTTCAGGGAACTACTGTGATTCCCCTCCTTGCATCTGTTCTGTATGATGAGAGTGAATGGGAGAGCCCTCACACCTTCAACCCTTCTCACTTTTTGGACAAGGAGGGAAGATTTATCAAGAGAGATGCCTTTCTACCATTTTCTGCAGGTGGAACAACTCTGTCTTTTTTTGTTTTAATCAGATACACTCTATCAGACATTGCTGGATTAAAATATGTTAAATTTATGTTCAATGCTTTTTTTTTCTTGCAGGTCGCAGGGTGTGTCTTGGAGAGAGTCTAGCAAAGATGTCACTCTTCCTCTTCTTCACCTCACTCCTTCAACGTTTTCGTTTCATGCCTCCACCTGGAGTTTCTGAATATGATCTGGATCTGACTCCAGCGGTGGGATTCACCATCTCTCCTTCTCCTCATGAGCTCTGTGCCATCAGTCGGCAGTGAAGAATGAAGGAAAAATTTTTTTTTTTTCCAGCCATAATAAATAATTTAAAATATCTTAGTTCCTCTGAGGGTATTTTTTTTTCAGATTCAAGGTACCTTTTTAAAATAGTCTTTAATCTGGTATTAAACATATTTTTGATTAAGCCCACCTTTCCATTAAAAATGTTTTATGTTGATCTAATGTGGTATTCTAATTTTAAATTGTGTACTTATTAGTTCTAAGAAGAAAATAGCACCATCTAACTGAAATAAAGGTTTGAAAATCTGTGTGGTTAAATTACATCATATAAATTGAGGTAGTTTGGCATTTTGTCAACTCCGTCAGATGTCAACTCCATCAGAGTTTTTGAGACTCTTTTGGTGAAATTGTTGACAAATCTCACTTATATGTGCAGTTCATTCATTTTAATGTATTTTACATAAATTGCATTACTTCACATATCAAGTTTTTCATTTTACTCACTAGTTTGTCACCACCTTCAGTTCTGTCATCTCTGTCATGCACTGTCAACTCCGTCAGATGGACTTTTTGTTGTTTTTTGTTTTAAATAATATTTCTTTTGTTTTTTGAGAAGCATTTGTTTGTAAAACTGAGTAGAAATATCACTAATGTGGTCATTAAAAAAATATTTTATATTTATTTTTGTCAGACGGTAATGACAAAGTTCTGGAACAGGTCCATTAAAAATGTAAGCCTGCACCTTAGCATCTTTACATTTCCAAAACATTATTTGTCATATTTTCATACATAAGCTTGAGGAATAATTAATTTTTTTTTTTGGGTGGCAGGGGGTTGGGGGTGTTGAACTCATTTTGTCCCACTTCTCAAGAATCACTGTTATGTGTCGCAGCCTTTCTGTATTGAAAAATCTCCAACAGACAATACTGGCGAGTTGCATTAGCTGTACTTATGAGAAGTGCAATTGGTGTGCATATTTAGACAACTACTGAATTTTCAAACATTTCTTCAATATTATTAAGACCAGTAAAATGGGCAAATGTAGCTGGATTTTCATCTCAATATATAAATTCACTATTCTTTTGCAACTTACTGTACATGTTCCCTCGGGTTTTGCTTACTCCTGGCTCAGTGGCTGCAGCTCGTGGCCTATACTTCAGAGAAAAAAGTTACTTCATGGTTGTGATTCTCCTCCATCATGATATTAAGCATTAGGGTTATAAAACTGTAGCCTTGTTCTTTTAAGTTGCTTTTGGTATAATTACTTCTTTCTCTCCCAAGATTTCAGCAGTCAACATTCCATCCCGTTACTGGAAATTCTTTATATTATGAAATAATTACTCTTTCTGGATCAAAATCGGACTTTTATTTGTTAAACAGGTCAAAGTTATGAAAATTAACTGTTTGTGTTGGATTTCCTGTTGACACAAGACAAAAATCCAGAGATACTTAAACTCCTCCACTTGAGGCAGGGTGACCCCCCTGACCTGGAGAAGGCACTCTACCCTTTTCCGGCTCAAGACCATGGCCCTAGGGACACCGTCGAACGCCTTCTCCAAGTCCACAAAACACGATTGAGGGAAGAAGGGAGCGGGAGATCGACAGGTGGATTGGTGCAGCGTCCACCGTGAAATGGGCGCTGTACCGGTCCGTCGTGGTGAAGAGAGAGCCGAGTCAAAAAGCAAAACTCTCGATTTACCGGTCGATCTACGTTCCTACCCTCATGTATGGTCATGAGCTTTAGGTCATGACCGAAAGAACGAGATCACGGATACAAGCGGCCGAAATGGGTTTCCTCCGCAGGGTGGCTGGGCTCTCCCTTAGAGATAGGGTGAGAAGCTCGGCCATCCGGGAGGGACTCAGAGTAGAGCCGCTGCTCCTCCACGTCGAGAGGAGCAGCGGTGAGGTGGCTCGGGCATCTAGTCAGGATGCCTCCTGGACGCCTCCCTGGTGAGGTGTTCATGTCCCACCGGGAGGAGGCCCCGAGGAAGACCCAGGACACGCTGGAGGGACTATGTCTCTCGGCTGGCCTGGGAACGCCTTGGGGTTCCCCCGGAGGAGCTGGAAGAAGTGGCTGGG